TCTCTCTACAAATACGCAGGTTGTTTTTTATCTTAATGTAAATTTAACCAAATTCTGCCAGCAGTCTGATCAAAAGCACAGTTTGAACACAGTCAGCTGTCGCTCTGTGTGTCTGAAGGTGATCCAGAAGTTTTTCTCCATCTCTGAAAGTCAAGCGTACATTCATCTCACTCTCCACCTGCTGATTTAATGATGAAACCACTGAGCCGTTTCATTGCCGCCTCGCAGTGTGTTATAATGCCTGTGCCTCACAGCGCTCGTCTTCTTTCTGCATTGCAAACATGGCCGTCATCTCTTTGTGGCCTTTTAGTTTGCGAGCATCTTCTGCCACTAGAGAGTAAATAGATGGGCTTCTGTGGCTGGATGGGAGCTCGAATTGATTTGCTTGCTCAAACAATTTGTTCTTGCTTTGACTGGCTAAATGACTTCACAGCCATTGATCCACTGACATGACATCTCGTTCTGTATTTACCTTTTTTTTTTTGTCTTCTTGCTTCTTATTGGTTCCCTTCACTTAATAGAGATCCTGAAAAGACGACTAAAAGTATTGAATTTTAACTTGTATTAAAATACAAACTGTAATTAAATAAATAAAAAAAATATCATTAATTACTGAAACAAGAATCCTAAAATTCCTGTTTGATGATTCGTTTGAAAGGCTGAATTATCTTTTCATTATTTTGTCCTTTATTTCATGAATAAGCATGTAAGAAACCTGGGTAATTGTTAGTACTTAATCCCTTTTGTGCTTAAAGTTTATTTAGAATGAGTATTTCAGGTCTAAATGAATGTTAATGATCTTAGGACCCAGCAATTTATTTTGTCCTCTGTTGGGAGTATTTGTTTTCACTGTTTTAAATCCTAAACTAAACTAAACCAAACTAGTTTTACTCACACACGCACGCACGCACGCACGCACGCATACATACATACATATACATGTCTGGTTTAGTTTAGAATTATTGGGAATTACACAAGTAAAAAGAATGGTGTGCTTGGTTTTAAACGTAACTTTATTCTTTCATGAGTTATTTACAAGCCCCCTCACAGTTAAAGTCAGAATTGTTACCCCCCCCCCTTGAATTATTATTATTATTTTTTTTTATATTTCCTAAATTATGTTTAAAAGAGCAAAGAAATTTTCACAGTATGTCTGATAATATATTTTTTTCTCCTGGAGAAAGTTTTATTTGTTTTATTTTGGCTAAAATAAAAGCAGTTTTTAATTTTTTCAAAAACATGTTAAGGTCAAAAGTATTAGACCCTAACAAACATATCAACAAATCGACTAATTACCTAACTAACAAACTAATAACTAAACTAACAAACAAACAACTAAAGAACTACTGAGCAAATGAACAAACTAACTGACTGATTATGAACTAACAAACTAACTAACCGCCTAAGGGACTAACTAACAAACAAACAAACTAATAACTAATCACTGACTAACAAACTAATTGACTAATTATGTGACTAACTAGCAAACTAACTAACAAATTCACTAACTAATAAACAAACAATGACTAATTTAAGAACTAACAAACTAATACTAGAACCAACAAACTAACTGATGTAGAAACTAACAAATAAAATATCAAAAAATGACTAACTAACTGACTAACTAATCAACTAACTAATGACTAACTAAAAAACTAACCAAAAAACAAACTGACAAACAACCTAACTAATTAACTAACTGACTAACTAATTAATTAACTAACAAACTAAGGATTTAACTAACAAACTTATCGATGAACAAATTAACAAACAAACCAACCAACAACCTAACTAACTATGAACTAATAATTGAACTAATGAACTAACAAATAATTGACTAACAAACGAACAAACAAACTATCTGACAAACTATTTTACAAACTACCTGAACAACTAATTGACAAACTACCTGACTAACTAATTAACAAACTACCTAACTAACTGACTGACAAACTAACAAACTGACCCACCAACCAACCAACCGACTGACCAACCGACCAATTAACTAACTAACTAACTAACTAACTAACTAACTAACTAACTAACTAACTAACTAACTAACTAACTAACTAACTAATGAACAAACTAACAAACAAACTGACTATGAACCAATAATTGAACTAATGAACATATAAAATGAATCAAAAACTTTCATCAAAATCTTAAAAGTATTGAACAACATCCATTCTTGTCATAAGGCAATATTATAATAACTTTGTTGATCCACTTTAAATGTTGACCTTAAATGTTCACTTTTAAATGTTGAACACGCACGCATACATGCACGCACGCACGCATACATGCACGCACACACGCATGCACGCACGCGCGCACACACACACACACACACATAACCGCTGCCCCTTTACATTTCACACTCCTCCTTTAGCTTACAAAGGATAAAAGTGTATGTTCTACCAAGCCACAACACCATTAGCTGAGTAATTTCAGTGAGCAGACGAAAGCTTTCTACACAAACCCAGCGAGTGAAGAGCAGAGAGTGTTCACATCTGTAGCTATCATTACTGTTAGCGCTATTGGCAAAACAAGAGGAGCAGAAAACAATAACAGAACTCCGTCTGGACATATGCTCACAAACACAAGACAATCTGTGGCATTTCAGCTGTGTGTGTGTATGATTTGAACATAGGGGAAAAAGTCTCTTTCTGTCAACTGATATGAGTGGTTAGTTTAGTGTTTGTATTATATGGTGATACAGCATCAACACCTGGTCAGCAGGTGGGGCTAGTACACTGTTAGGGTTTACTATTGAGAAAGCTGATGGTGGAACAACTTTCAGTAATATTGAGTGCTTCATAAATATTACAGACAGCTGATGATGCATCAGACTAAAGAAACCCATTAAAAAACACACTAAATCAAAACACACTACACGAATTAAAGTGCCATGAAATGCCCCAATTTCGGTTCAAGTCTACCTCTGAATTTTTTCAAAAGATGTATCATAATGGATGTGGAGTTCCGCAATCAAAGGGCAGGAGTGGGCGTGGCCAGCAGGGGAGAAAGGGGTGGGAGCTGTTGTCAATCGACTCACAAAATGAGACACAAACCGTAAGACGACAAATGATTTTATAGTTTAAATGCAAGGAAATAAACAGTAATTTAATGCCCTGCTACATTTGTCATTCATAATTTTATATACACATTACCACAATTTATTTCATTTTAAAAATAATTGTGTTTATATAAACACTATAAACGAGGACTATTCCCTCAATCCCCAGGTCTGAATGCAGACTCAGTGCAGCAGGTCTTATGCCCGTGTCTGTTTTAACCATTAGCCCTGTTGGTAATCTCTAGAGAATTTAGGCAAACACAGCAGCAGGGCAATGTGTCTAAATGTGACCTAACTCCTGATAAAATACAATGTCCGCCATTCTCCAATTCTCGTACTGCTCTCCTGACAAAAATGCTTGCTGCACACAAACAGCTTTACTGTTTCGGCCCTGACAGCATCGTGGGGCAAAACCTGCAACAAACCCTGTGGATCATGGAAACAAACACATACGACCCTTCATGAACAGCTAAATACTGTGTGCCATTGGTCCGTGGATGTGGACAGCTTGGCACTGGCAGGTCTACCTTGCCTTCGGAAAGCACGTGCAGTCACTTGCAGTTTTACGCTACGTCACAGCACACCCATTTACTTTTTCTCTTAACTGTTTTCAAACCTGTACGAGCTGCTTTCTTCTGTTTAAAACTAAATAATATATTTTGAAGTAAAAACCTGTAACCATTTACATCCATGGTAGGAAAAAAATACTATGGAAGTGAATGATTACTGTTATAAATACCTCCTTACTGTAATTTTGACACTCAAAGCGCTTTACACATTTTTGGGGGGAATCTCCTCATCCACCACCAGTGTACTGCATCCACCTGGATGATGCGACGGCAGCCATACTGCGCCAGACCGAACACCACACACCAGCTGATTGGTTGAGAGGAGACCAATGTAGTGATAAAACTAATTATAGAATGGGCATAGTTAGGAGACCAGGATGAACAGAGACGAGTAGAAAAAATTTGGCCAGGATGCCAGTGTTAAATCTCTACTCTTTTTTTTGAAGGACATGCTGGGATTTTTAATGACCACAGAGAGTTGGGACCTTGGTTTAAAGTCTCATCCGAAAGATGGTGCTTACTGAGCAGTATAGAGTTCCCTTCAATATACTGGGGTGTTAGCACCCACACAGACCGCAGGTTTACCACTTCCAGCAGCAACCTAGCTTTTCCATCCATGTACTGACCAGGCGCAGCCCTGCTTAGCTTCAGTGGGCAAACATGAGAAAGTTGCAAAGAGCTGGCTGACAGCTTAACGTCACTTTGTGGGGCTTTGAAATTTCTTCTCCCAGAGTTTGACATGTACTGTAAACATTATTATGATAAGAATGTAGGGGTTGGTTTGATAGATGTTTCACTATGCTCTTGTTTTTAACTTTAATCTCTTCTCTTCCCATGGACACCAAAAAAAAAAAAAAAAAAAAAAAAAAATTCAAAAACGAAAATAACAAAAAAAAAAAAAAACTAAGTAAAAGATACAAACAAATGAAAACCGACACAAAACAACAACAAGAACCACAAAAACACAACACACAAAAACATCATAAACAAATAAAACAACAAACTAAAACAACACCGCTAACAAAATCAAACAACAAATGTAACAAACCAAATAAAAAAAAAGAAACAAAACAAACAACAACTCCCAGCTAAAACAAAAACAAAGGAACATAAATGTAAAAAGACACTACAAACACAACTTACAAAACCAACTAAACAAATTACACACAAAAACAAATGTAAACGTAAAACCATATCAAATCAAAAACCCAAAACACAACAGGAACAACACACCAAATGAGAAAGAAAAAACAGCAACAGGTAAAGCACGGATCTTGCACCTTAAATCTAACAGTGAACCCATATTTTTACACATTTTTTTCTTTTACATATTAATGCATCTTGCAAGGACTCACCCATGAAGTTGAGGTATCCCTCTCCTCCCAGGCTGTGGGTAAGCAGTCGGATCATCTTATGAAGCTGGATGCCCCGATCAATAATGGAGTTCATGGGAATCAAAGCGCTCATGCTGGTGTACATCTCTTTGTCCATCAGCCAGAAGGCCAGCGTTTTGTCTCCCACCAGTGCCTGAAAATGAATAAATAAATAAATAAATAAAACACACAGACCAACATTATAAACACAAACGCTACACAAGGTGATCTGTTTACTGCTTGATGTATAACTTTAAACTGGTCGTTCTTGCTTTTGGGAAACAGTATACGATACAAGTGCTACATCAAAATTCAATTTGATTCGTGATTTATTAGGTTTGTTTGATGATTGGGCTACAATTGCTTTGAAAAGCTGGCAACCCTGCTGTTACCTGTTCTCTCAGGTGTTTATTGTTTGGTTATTTAATATAGTAAATATCAGTTAAAATGAGTGCAAAAAAAAAAAAAATACCTGATCATCGATATCGCTGTTTGCATTTATAATATTACACTTGCGTTACCAAGGCAACAGCTGACACATTTGTATTGTATTCTTATAATCTAGGGCTTTATTATTAGCAACACATTGGAAAATCGAATGTATAAATAAATGTATATACGTATAGCGTGGCTTTGATGACTGTGGTAACTTTGGAAACACTACTGTTCAAAACTGTTTATATAATAGACTTTTTGTCACTTACAGTATATCATTACGGCTTTGTTGTAAAAGCTAAGTTTTGTAAAATACTAAACAGGCAGCAAAAATGTAGGGCTCTAATTTAAGGCTCTAGGCACAAAGTCTAAAGCGCATGGCACAAACGCATTAAGGGCATGTCCTAATCTACTTTTGCTATTTTAAGAATATAAAAATGTGCTCTGTGCCCCGGCACATGGTCTAACAGGGTTGTGCTCATTCTTTTAACGAGTTATGGGTCTGTTTTGAGCATAACATGCATTAAACCAATCAGAGTCTCATATCCCATTCCCTTTGAGAGTCAGTTTACATAGCGGACTTTGTAAGTGAAAAAAACTGAATGCTTCACTAGTGAGAAAACAGTTAAACAGACCATCTACAGTGAGGATAAAGCATAAGCCTCCTCCATTCCGCCTCTTTACTTTCTCTTTACTTTAGTTTTACTCTGCTTAACTCCTTTGTACCCACTCCAATGAAGACACCCATTAGCCTACATATTTCATTTTGTTTGTTAAGTGCAAAGATTCTTTTCAAAACTGTGTCTTCATTCAGTTCTAATTTTTAGCAAACAAATAAATGAACAATAATAATGAAGTGTACTCAAACTGAGTTATATCCAAACACACAACCTATTCTTATGCCCCATTTGGTAATGCATGTCACCAAAAACCAACAGGTGGACAAATCTAAACTTGTTTTATTTAAACAAATATAAATATACATATAACAAATACTACTACTACTATTTAATACATTATACAAAACAAATTGTTATGAATAAACTAAAAAAAAAAAGCCCCCAGAGATGAAGAAGGCATGGAGGTAGTGGTTTTTGTATTTATGTAGAAGATATTCATTTTTGTAACATTTTAATCCTTAATTTTTTATGCATAAAGATATCTGTGTATTGCATTACATCCTGTGTGTATTAAATTATATGTACGGATTTGAACTCACATACTAACACACTCTGTGTTGGACTTTAGACCTGCTTGTAGTTGGTCAGTGGCACAGCATATTTCAGTTCCTCAAAATAGCAATGCGCCAACAATGCACCTTAACACAGCTCCTTTCTAGACCAGCACACCCATGAGTCCACAAAGAGGTGCAAATGCTATTTAAATGACATAAAAAAAGTGATAATAAAGTGACGCTGGACTAAAAATAGCAACAAATCACGCCAATTACATCTTGCGCCAGGTGTATGATAGAGCCTTTAAAATCGAATTATAAAATTGAAATCGTGAATCTCATCGAATCATGAGTTTAATAAATGATATAATTTCTACTATTAACCAAAGCTTCAAATTGTGACTACTTCAATCCTTGATACTTGTATGTAAAGCAACAAACAGTAACAATGTTTAGTTTAAGCGAATCAGTTTAAAGTCACTCCTCACTCTTTTAAAGGTCATCCAAAGTCAACTTGCTTTTAAATATCCAAGAGCTTCTCAAAATACTGACAACATTAACCAAACTTGTCCAGGCCTTAGCCACAACTACAATGTTTCAAAGTCAAAGTAGATGTTAATCGGGAGCCGACATTGACCGCCATTAAGCAAATCTGTGACAAACCTTGAAAAAAGAATTTTTGAGAATTACAGAGGACTAATTTCAGGAAGTTCAGAATTCTGTCTTTTCAAAAGCAATACTGCATTTTGATCCTTGAAACATTTGACTTTTTTGTACTACAGACTTTTTACACCCACAAACCAATTCATTACACATTATATAAGAGGTATTATGTGCAAAAAAGAAAAACATAAAACTTTAACAAGGATCACTATACAGTTTGTCCTGATAAAATCATCCTAGTTTGTGTGGAAAATCAATATATTTTTTAGCTTTTTAAAACAGAAACAAAATTCAAATAGGGTATAATGGCTTAATTAATGGATAGCTCACCTAGTTAATTTTGTTTATTCATTACTTACAAACCCTCAGATTGTTCCAAACATATATGAGCAGTGTTGGTTACTTTAAAAAAATAATAGATTACAATTACTAACCACTACTGGAAAATTGTAATCTGATTACATTGCTAATTACTTAATGTAAAAAGTAATCAGATTACTATTTGTTTTACTTTGAAGTTTCTTTTAAAACATATAAAATATACCTATAAAAACACAACATAAACTGCATCTCTTTCAGTAATTTAATATTCACTTAAAAACATTACAATGAGTTAATCACAGCAGCTTGACATATTCAAAAGACCTAAAGTGTTCGCCCAAAACTTACAATTCTTTCATCACTCACTTGTTCCAAACCTGTTTGTCTTATTTTAACACAAAAGACATGAAGAAAACTGGATACTTGTAACCACTGACACTCATATTATGCAAAAGCACTGCAGTGTTTGGGTGTTCTGTGTTTGTCTGAGGTGATTAGTCTACCGAAATGTGTATACAAAGCATGAAGCTGAACGATCAGTCCTTGTCCCGTGACTAGCAGTTTTCAACTGGTACACCTGGAAAATGTGAGTATGTGCAATATGCACTCCTAATATGTTTGCAAAAGCCATGTGCCTCCAATTGGAAATAACAAACTTTTGCGCACAAATGATGCAATACGTGAATGGCCCCATAAGCAGCTACACTTCTCCTCACATTCAGAAGATATTTTCACACATGATCCTGCACAAAAATTCAATTTAGCCTTATTAGGCTGAGTTGGACCGCTGTGTTTTTGAGCGCCAGTGTCTTCCTTGGCGACAAGTATTGTCGTAGAATGCTTTCTGGTCAAGTTAAAAGCAGCTGAAAGTTCTTTAAAGACTGGACATGCTGCACTGCATTCCACAGCAATATTTTTGTTTTTACACTCAATGAATTTAAAGTAACGCCTGTATTTCCACTTGAAGAAGCAGCCACTCTCATCAGCAACCATTTCAGCTTGCGTTCTCTAAAATAAATGTTAATCAAAGGCGACAACACCAAGGCTCCAAAAATACAAATTTATTAAATTAAAAAGCCTGACACAGCCTTCGCATTACATTGCGATGTTCCCCAAAAATTTTATTAGAATACTGTAACGTGTTTCTGTAAAACGAGTTACACCCAACTCTGTACATAATATTCTTTCGTCTGTCAAACACAAAAGAAAATATTGTGAAAAAAAGCAAAAAAAAAAAAACAGTAATCATTGACTTTCATAGTAGGAAAAACAAATACACTGTATTGAAGTAATTGGTTTTTGGTTTCCAGCCTTCATCAAAATATCATCTTTTGCGTTCAACAGAAGAAAGTCAAACAGGTTGGAAAGAAGTGAAAGTTTAGTAAATGATGACAGAATTTTCAGGTTTTGGGTGAACTATCCCTTTAAGCACTTAAGCTTAATATTCTGTATACTCACTAGTTACTTTGTTAGGTACATTGCTTGCTAGAACCAAATTTGATCTTGTATGTCTTAATTCTTTGTGTTCTAGGTATACTGTAGATTCAACTAATGTACTTGATATTGATTTGATAGCACTGCATAGTTGCTGCATTTGTTGGCTGCAAATTTATGACACAAATCTGTCATATTGAGGAAACAAGTTTGAGATGGTTTGAGCATTGCCACATGTTGTTTTCTAGTGCTGGAAGTAGCCATTACAGGACTAGATTACAAGTAAGCTCTGTGATGTTAAAAACAATAATCAAATAGCATTATAGAAGTCCAAAGTGTCACAAAAAATGTACCTTAAATCCTTACTCCACTGGTCTGAATCACTGACACAAGACAGGATGGATTCATGCTTTTATGTTATTTTTACAGAATTGTAGCCTCAGTTTGCTGTTTGTAACTGACAGGAGTGACACTAATTTGCTCTTCTTTTCTCCTTCTTCTATTTACTGTGAAGCTGATCCATTTCAAGATTTGAGTTACGGTTGTATTTCTATCAGATGAACCAGGCAGGACATAAAGGAACCCTCCACTTTTTTGGGAAATAGGCTTATTTTTTAAGTCACCTAGAGTTAAGCAGATGATTTTTTGTAATTTAAAAAAAAAATCTATTCAGCTAATCTACATGTCTGGCATGAGCACTTTTAGCATAGCTTAGCACTTAGCATAAATCATGGAATTGCATTAGACCATTAGCTTTTAAAAAAAGAAAATAGTTTTTTTTTTATAGGAAACAATAATTTTTCTACATAATCTTGCAATATTCGGTAGTTACATCATGAACTAGGACCAAAGAATAAAAAGTTGCTATTTTCTAGGCTGACATGGACTAGAAACTATTCTTTCATTCCAGCATAACAATCAAGGAACTTTGCTGATGTACCATGGCTGCAGCAGACGTATTGATATTGTGCAGTGCCTAAAATTTGTCCCCAGAAAGGGGGACTAGGTATGTATAATTTGCGCCTAATATCTTCTCAAAAATATATTTTTTACTTTTTGTAAGAGATGCTAATGGTCAAATCTGATTCAATGACTTATGCTAAGCTAAGCTAAAAGAGCTATCGCCAGACCGGAAGATTGGCTGAATTGATTAAAAACTGATTAAACTCATATGTTAAACTCAGAAGACTTGTAAAAGAGTCGATTTTCAGAGTGTTTCTTTAACAACTGGTAGGTTTCTCATCATAAAATCACTTTTTAAATAAACCCTAGAAATGGTTGTGCGTGAAAATCCCAGCAGATCAGTAGTTTCTGAAATACTGACACCAGCAACCATGCCATGTACAAAGATGCTCAGATGCTCAGTTTGACCTTCAGAAGAGGGTTTGAAATGTAATTGAATGAACAGGTGTAACTAATAAAGTGGCCAATGAGAGTGTATGTTCAAGGTCCTGACATCCATTAATATTTAAAAAGCTCCTACGCGCTCACACATCCACCCATTTGATGGAAACTTTATTGCAATGCTAAACAGTCGGGCTATTGATGAAGTGTCAAAGTAAAGTTTTACTAGTTTTAGCACGAACTCTGATTCGCTCAAGTGTCTCATATTGAGTAGCACAAATCGTTATTCCCAGACCTTGGAAACTGAACACAGAGGAAAAACAAAGAGAAGAAAGGAAGACAGGAGGAAAACAACAATAACAACAACAAAAACATTTGAGTCCAGTCATGGTGTTAGAGTGCGTATAAACAGGATGGATGTGTTAATTTCTCCTTTCACCCTCATCCCTTGAAAACTACAACCCATGTTGTGACACTAATTTCCATACCCAACGACACATTGATTGCACCTTCTTTCACCCGAGGCAGGAGGAATGGATGCATAAGGGCAGTACCTGGTCATGGCTCTCGGCGTAAGCAATGCATTTCTCTCCATATCGCCTGTTGGTCATCGTAAACACAATGTTTCCCATGTTCCAGTCTTCGTCCTTGAATTCCTTGAGGATCTGAGAATGAAACAGAGTGGAAAAATAAATGGAAAGCAATAGCTCTCACTATACTTTTTACTTACAATTTCCTCACTACTACCTAAACCGGTCTGCAGGTTTTATTAGTCTAGTAGTCAAAAGCCAGATTTAATTTCCTTTGTTGTAAGCCCGTGCACAATTTCAGCAGTATATGAATCCATCATACTGTGCTAATGCACTCTACAGTGAGATTATGAAAGAGATTAGGATGATAATGTTCTTGTTTATTTTATTTTTGCAGTATTGATCTTTTTTTTTCCTATTTCAATTTTCTGAAGATGAAGTACCTCCCTTGACATTTCGGAGAAAAGTTCCCTAACTAGCTAAAAGTAACAAGGCTGCTAATTTAACTAGAGTCTACAGAGATCGGCTGTATTCAAAATGCTTTTGCAGTATCTACTTGTTTTTCTTCTCTGTTGCATGAACAAGCATTTCTGTTGAATGAGAGACACAAGAGACACAAGGACAAAAACTGAATTCAATTTAAGTCATCAGTTATCAGAAATGTCTCCCCTTAGCCATGGAGCACTTAAATGTCATTTGTGGGAATTCAGTATACAGTTAAAGTCAGAATTATAAGCCCTTTTACTTTTTTCTTTTCTTTTTTATAATGTTCAACAGAGCAAGGAAAGTTTCAGTGTGTTTGATAATATTTTTTTCTTTTGGAGTAAGTGTTTTGTATCATTTCGGCTAGAATAAAAGCAGTTTTACATTTTTTAAAATCCATTTTAAGGTCAATATTATTGCCCACTTTAAGCTAATATTTTTTTTCCCGATCATCAATAGAACAAACCATTGTAATACAATAACTTGCCTAATTACCCTAACTTGCCTAGTTAACCTAACTAACCTAGTTAAGCCTTTAAATGTCATTTTAAGCTGTATAGAAGTGTCTTGAAAAAATATCTAGTCAAATATTCTGTACTGTCATCATGGCAAAGATCAAATAAATCAGTTATTAGAAATGAGTCATTAAAACTATTACGTTAATATATTTGATGGGAAAAAAAAAAACCTCTCTGTCAAATTCAAATGTATATTCAACTGTATATTCAATGTATGAACTTCAAAATATTTAAGTGCATATATATATATATATATATATATATATATATATATATATATATATATATATATATATATATATATATATATACATATACATACACATACAGTTTGCAGCTTTGCAAAATAAGTTTCATTTGTATCATTGGATGGGTTCAGGAAACTCTGGACTAAGTTTTCTTAGATTCCAACAGATTTGTCTGTTGAACATCAAGTTAACTTCTTCTAGCAAAAATTGTAGGGAATATCTGGTTAATTTTGAGTTTCAAGAACCTTTAAAGGTCCCATGAAGTGCTTTGAAATGTGCTATTTTTATTCTATGTCTGCTGTAATCTTAACTGAAACAGGAAGATAGTGTGGGATATAAAGTAGCTCCATTCCTTAAAAAAGGGTTTTGTTTTATTCACAGGTCTTTCAGTGAAAGTGGACGAGCTCAAGCACATTAAATGAAAAAGCAAACAAAAAGCTTCTTGAAGGAGGTGGGACACGTCAGATACTATAAAGCATTTGATTGGTCAGAAGGTTGATGTAAAAAAAAAAAGATACATTAAGGTGAAAGTCACATATTGCAAGCTTTTGATGTTTATTTCTTCTAAATCCTAACTTTCTAACTGTTTTGAACCACACTAGCTTATAGACACCCATACGACCGCCATATTGATACTAGACATCTAAAAAATCTTACTTTCATTGCATGAGACCTTTAAAGATGCACATTCAAGAAACTTTAGGGAACCTTTAAGTTATGATAAATCATGAGGGTAAATAAAACATGAATATTAAAAGTCCATCTTAAAAAATTAGGTGACCATATGATAATTACATTAACTCAACAGCCCGCTGCTTCAGCATGCATAGCGTACCATCACATGCCAAGTCGTATGCTAATGTCAGAATGAAGTGAGCAAGTCATTATACTGGGATCGGTATCATGTCTGTGACACAGTTCGAAAATAATAGTCACCCGTCATTAGTTAAGAGTCAACATTAAGACGGTTCACATCACCCCTCATCATTCAGCTTTCAGTCACACAACTTCAGCCTTGCGCTCGATGGGATGCACAGCAAGGGGACTTCACTGAACAGAGGCGTTTAGGTTGTGGGAAGAGAGAGGAACTCAAGGACAGCGTGTCCAACAGCATGCTGAAAACTGTCACGAATGCACCTCTGCTTATTTCACAAAGACGGGATGTGACTCAGACACCTACCTTTCAGAGCACTGAAACAAATGCTTTAAAAAAGGAGAGAAACATCTAATCGTACTCAAGATGCACTTGAATCACACTTTAAATCACAATACAACATGGATATACAGATAAAGTTTACTGTTTCATAAAGATTGCTAAAACACCTTTTTTATGGGTTTCAAGAATGCAAAATTTCTTAAGCAGTCACTCATTATAGACAAAGAGTGACTGATTTAATTAGAAATTTCATTCATTCATTTATTTTTCCATTAGTTTAGTCTCTATTTCAGAGACTGCCACAGCGGAATAAACAGCCAACTATTCCAGCATATTTTTTACGCAGTGGATGCTCTTCCAGCTGCAACCCAATGGTGGGAAACACCCATACACACTCTCACACACACTCTCTCATACACACACTCACTCACTCACTCACTCACTCAGGCCAGTTTAGTTTATTCAATTCTCCTTTAGTGCATGTTTTTGGACTGTGGGGAAAACCAGAGCACACGGAAGAAACCCACGTGAACACTGGGCGAACATGCAAACTCCACACAGAACTTTTAACTGTCCCAGCCGGTACTTGAACCAGCAACTTTCTTGCTCTGAGGTGACAGTGCTAACCACTGAGCCATCATGCCACCCCTAAACATAAATTGAGTTTATAGTCAACTTTTTTAAAAGCCTTTTTACAAGATGTTAAAAAAGTCTCTGGCGTCCTTAGAGCGTGCATGTTTCAGCTTAAAATATCCCACTAATAATGAATAATAACTCTCTGTTATAAACTGCTCCTTTTAGGCTTGGATACGAGTTAGGCAATTTTGGTGACTGTTGCTTTAAATTCCAATTAAATTGTGCTCTTTTTTTTAAATGAGATAGAGCTACTAATGCTCATGTGTCAACACAGTGTCAGACTGAAAAACAAGACTACAGTTCTATGTTAATGAGGGAGAAATGGTCACCAATGTGCTCTGATGTCATGTACAAAGCATGTCAATAAAAAGGTGTGTGTGTGAGTGTGTATATACATTGGTACATATGTTCATGCTAGGCGACACTGGCACAGTAGGTAGTGCTGTCGCCTCACAGCAAGAAGGTCGCTGGTTCGAGCCTTGGCTGGGTCAGCTGGCATTTTGGTGTGAAGATTGCATGTTCTCTCTGTGTTCGCGTGGGTTTCCTCGGGTGCTTTGGCGGTACAGGTAAATTGGGTAAGCTAAATTGTCCGTAATTTATGAGTGTGAATGAGTGTGTATGAATGTTTCCCAGAGATGGGTTGCGGCTGGAAGGGCATCCGATGCATAGAACAAGTGCTGGATAAGTTGGAGGCTCATTCTGCTGTGGCGACCCCAGATTAATAAAGGGACTAAGCTGAAAATAAAATGAATGAATGAATGAATGAATGAATGTTCATGCTAAAAACTACTGAACCATAAGGGTAGGGCATAAGGTTACACCTTTTCCAAAGATTTCTTGACTTTTCAAGCACTTTCCAAGTGGATTATTTAAACTTCTGAAGCACTTTACAAATATGGTAACTTACACATTTAATTGCATTTTTTTTTATTTCCCCCCAAAATTCTAATTAAATAAATAAATAAATAAATAAATACACAAAAACTGAAAGGTGATTCGTCAGATTTGTTCAAAACGGCTCATTCAGCCATGGATTAGGTGTGAAAGACCAGGAATGACTCTCTGGATGGAACAGTTTAAAAAACTGCAGATGTAAACAAAGTTTAAACATCCATAAAACACCATAATGTTTGCATGATGACACGAAGCGGCTCAGCTGTGACTTCGTTGGGAATTATTTTCTTAAGAAGCTGCAAAGTGTTTGCACAGCACTGTCATGATCACACTTTTCTTAGTGCCATAAAAAAAGCTAAAAGGGAAAGTTGATGCATCCATAACAAATATTAATGAACAAAGCAAATCTTCACTCATATACAAGCAAACAACAAAAACACGACTCTTAAAAGGTAACACTTTACCTGAAGAAGTGCTTACAAGACTGTCATTAAACTTGTGTAATCATAAATAATGTCGTGAATGTGAATGAGATTTCACGGGCTTATTACAACTGTCATTAAGAGTCATTCCCCTAGTTATGACATTTCCAATAAAAAAACAGCATTCTTTTTTATAACAATTTGTCGTATTAAATACTGTTTTTGTCTGTCGTGACAACTTGACATTACCAAAACTCAAAAACTTGTTATAAATCTGTCATGAACATGACTGTATTATCTTTGTATTAAATGCAAATTATGTTTCATAATTACAAATACTATGGCTTTTACCTTATGTAAAGCTGTGTTAACAATCTACATTGTAAAAAGCACTAAGAAATAACTACAACCGGCACAATAAACCTTTTTTGGCTTGTATTTTGCCCGTTTTTTACCTTTTGTGCAAAAACCAAAATGTCATTTTGCACCGATTCATTTGAGGCATCCCTGGATTACTGGGAATAGGAAAGTGTTCAACCATGATTATTTCACAGAGGTAAAACATGAGAAAACACAAAGGCCAAACTCACTCACTCATTAATCTCAATGAGTAAGACCAAATAACAGAGCTATAATTTGAAGCAAATGGTTGTTGAGTTTCGCAAAATGGGAAGTACCTATCAGAAAGCAAAATGACAATGTAGACCATAAGGGCAAAAATGAAGCAATTCCAGTCAAAACGGAAGAATTATGAATCAGCCTGGAAGAGGATGTGTGT